AAAACAATAATAGAATAAAAGAAAAGAAAACAATAATAGAATCGGGTTTAGAATGGAATGGAATAGAAATAAAACTAGAAAACAATGGAATAGAATAGAATAACACAATAGTAGAATAAAATAAAATAAGAATAGAATAAAATAAAATAAGAATAAAACAAGAATAGAATAATATAAAACAAAACAATAATAGAATAAAATAAAATAAACCAGAATAGAATAAAATAGAATAAGAATAAAGCAATAATAGAATAGAATAAAATAATAGAATAAAATAGAATAAGAATAAAACAAGAATAGAAAAAGAAATAGAATCAGAGCTGGAAGGGACTTTTGATCCAAGCCAGAATCATTCCTGGCATCTTCCCTGTTTGGGGTCCATCCTCACCTGCTTATGCTCTCCTTTCTCCCAGGCTATGCCCTCCGATGAAGATCTGAGCAACGTTTCCGACGAGCTGTATAACCGCAAGATCCGCGTCCCGCCTTTCAGCCACACGCTGGACGGCCTGGCCGCCTTCACCACCTACCACGTGCGCGTGGCCTGCCATTCCACCGAGGGCCATTCGCCCTGGACCCACTGGGTGGCTATGGACACCTTGGAAGGGGGTAAGAGGAGGGGCGGGAGAAATAGGGACAGATGAGGCGCCAAGACCCCAGCCCCCTGACTTGGAATGGTCCCCAGTCATAAATTGAGGGCTACCTGTAGGCAATAATGGCCTCTCCCTTCTTTTACGGGGGGGCTCAAGTGACGACATTTCCAGATAGTCCTCAACTTACAACAGTTCATTTAGGGACCATTTGATGTTAGAATGGCAATGAAAAACATGACTTGTGGCCGTTTTTTCACACTTATGACCATTGAGGCATCCCCATGGTCATGTGATCAAAGTTCAGATGCTTATTTATGACAGTCGCCGTGTTCCCGGGAGTCATGTGGTTTCCCCTTTAGCGACCTTCTGACAAGCCAAGTCAATGGGGGAAACCAGATTCACTTAACAAACATGTTACTAGTTTAACCCCGGCTTAGTAACTGCAGTGATTCACTTAACAATGGGACAAAACTCTTCAAAACTGTCTCATTTAGCAACAGAAAATTTAGGCTCAATTATGTTCGTAAGTTGAGGGCTACCTTTTTTATTATTTTATTTTATTATTCATTTTATTTTATTATTTTATTTTATTATTTTATTTTATTATTTTATTATTTTATTTTATTATTTTATTATTTTATTATTTTATTATTTTATTATTTTATTTTATTATTTTATTATTTTATTATTTTATTTTATTA